GGAGGCAAAGGGCATTTATAGATGTCTAAATACAAGCATGTACATATGTAAATATATTTATATATGAGGATGGGGAAATCCATGTGCATATATTTATAAGTTTATGATTAAGGTAGCAGATGGACGTTGGGCCTCCACTCAAGTACTCCCTCAATGCAAGAATATTTTGATTTATTAAGCATTCCATGATGCTCACCTTCCCAACATGATCACTGAAGACAAAGTGGGTGCATAAGCAAATGTGGTGAAGAAAGTTGATGGTGCCCGGCTATCAAAAGATATGGTGTCTGGGGTCTTAAAGGCTTGAAGGTAAACAAGCGGCCATCTAGCTCAGAAGCATCAGAGTCCACATGGAAGAAGCACACCAGCCTGTGTGACCATGAGGTGTTGAGGTGATCAGGTATCAGGCATCATCAGAACAAAAAATCATATCAATGTGAATGAGGGGGAGTGCAGAGTGGGGAACCAAAGCCCATATGTTAACAACTGGACATCCCCTTATGGAAGGGTCGCAAGGAGAAGACGAGCCAGTCAGGGTGCAGTGTAGCAACAATGAAACATACAACTTTCTTCTAGCTCCTAAATGCTTCCTCACCACCCATTATCATGATCCCAATTCTACCTTACAAATATGGCTAGACCAGAGGATGTACACTGGTACAGATAGGAACTGGAAACACAGGGAATCCTGGGCGGATGATCCCTTCAGGGCCAGTGTTGAGAGTGGCAATACCGGGAGGGAGGGTTCAAGAGGGGGAACCGATTATAAGTATCTACATATAACCTCCTCCCTGGGGGATGGACAACAAAAAGTGTGTGAAGGGAGATGTCGGAGAGTGTAAGATGTAACAAAATAATAATTTATAAATTATCAAGGGTTCATGAGGTAGGGGGTAGCGGGGAGGGAAGGGGAAAAAATGAGCTGATGTGAAGGGCTTACGTGGAGAGCAAATGTTTTAAGAATGATGAGGGTAACTAATGTACACATGTGCTTTATAAAAAGGCAAAAGATGTAAACTCTGCCTTCTACTACCAAACTAAGGTCTACTAAATAAAAATTGTGAAAATCGAACGATAGACATAATTTAAAGCAGTGTAGAAGCAATTTTAAAACAAACAAACAAAACAAAAGGAAATCTATAACAGAGATTAATACTGCCATATCATCTGGCAAAACTATTCAGAGGCAATTGATGTATTTAAGAAGGTCAAACAGGCCTACATTTTACAACTTCTGATCCACCCTTAATTTATAAATGGATCTTTATGCTACCAAAATCAACTCCAAAAATGTGTCCTTCAGTAATTTATCAAACTTGTGGGGCACAAGATTAATAGACAAAAATCAGCTGTTATTTCTATATCAGTAATGATAAATCTGAAAAAGAAAATTAAAGAGCAATTCCATTTATAGTAGGACCTAAAAGATGGTAATACCTAGGAATGAGCTAAACCAGGAAGGTGAAAGAGTTATGCAATGAAAATTACAATGCATTGCTGAAATTAAAGATGACTGAAATAAATAGATAAATGTTCATGTATTGGGAAATTCAATGTAGTTAAGATGCCAATACTTCGGTCACGAATTGAAGTGTCCACCACTCTGGGTCCCAAATATGTGTTGTAAACCCTAATTTCTGTATGCCTGTGGTTACAATCCCATTTTGAAATGGGCTATCCTTATTACATGAATGAGGCAAGATTAATGTAGGATGTATTTTGAGGCAATCTCTTGGGATAGAAGACAGATGCCAAGTTACGTGAACATCTCCAAGAAAACATAAGCTCAAGAGACAAGGACCTTTTCCCGGAGCTACCAGAGAAAGAAAGCCTTCCCATAGAGCTAGCACCCTGAATTCAGACTTCTGATTTCCTAAATCTCTGTTAAGGCCATCTGCCACCCACTGGTGGATTTTAATTATAGAAGCACTAACTAGCTAAGTAAGACACCTACCTAAAGTGATCTATAGAGTAAACACAGCCTAATCAACATTCCAATACCTTCTTTACAGAACAATTCTCATTTTTATGTGGAAAGGCAACTTTGAGTAGCCAAAGCTTTGGAGAAGAACAAAGTAGGAGGACTTCCACCTTTTTTATTTCTAAACATACTACATTTACAGTAATTGAATTAGCCTGGTAATAATAGGTACAAAGACCAATGGAACAGAACTGAGCCTAGAAATAAGCCCACACATCTGTGGTCAACTTGTCTTTGACAAGGGGAGGAGTGTGCTGAAATGAGTTCCTTCACTGTGGTCTTCCACCGGGGGTTTTTGGAAAAATAGTATGAAAGATTTTCTGCGCAAGCCCTGAGGGGTGACCTTCTCCCGCAGAGGGTTTATTACTTGTACCCAGTTTGGGTGGCTTTGGGGAGCAAGCTATCAACATGCTGACTTTCTGTTTGGCCTTGTGATGCAGCCCACCCTGGGTTAGGTGGGTGCTTTGTAAGGACTGGTCACTGTACCCACGAAAATGAAGTGGCTATCGACGAAAAGAGTCTGTGGTTACTGAGTGGGGACTGGTCAGTTTGGGGCTGCTCTTGTAGGAGGGCCCATACCTTGAAACGGACAAGGATTTAACACTACTTGCTGCTAATACCACAGACGTTTTTCAGACAAGAAGTCAGAAGAGACTCAGCAAGAAACAACAAGACAGAGGATAAAGTGGGGGTGGGATGAAAAAAGAAGAGAGTGGAGAGAAGCAGAGAGAGGAGGCAAGAATCCTCTTAGAAGCTCTAACGCGGGTCAAGAACTAGAACAATGAAGACAGTGAGAGGTCCCAGAGACTCGACAACACAGCCAGTGGCAACAGGCCCAGAGGTGTCTTGAGACAGAGACAGAGGTCACAGAAGCAGGGCCAAGAGGATTCAGGATTCTTCCAACCATACACAAAACCAATTCAAAATGCATCAAGGAACTTAACATGAAAACTAACGCAACAAATTTTTTAGAAGAAAACATCAAGATGCAGCAGCAGGGCTGCAGGGCTTAGTTTTTAATGACAGATTATCAGAAGGTATAACAAAAGTCCGAGCAACGAAAGACGAAAGAAATAAATGGGGCCTCCTAAAAATTCAATGCTTTTCTTCATCAAAGAACTTCATTGAAAAAAGAAAATACAGCTTACAGATTAGGGAAAATGATCGGGTACTATCTATCTACAAAGATTCTTGTATCTAGGATATACATAAAACCTCTACAACAACCAAAAAATAAACCGCCCAATCAAAAAGCAGCCCAGTGACTTCAACTGACAATTTATCAAGGAGGATATTTAAATGGCCAAGGTCACTAGTCATTAAGACAGATGCAAATCAAAACCACATAACTACGATATGACTCAGCAATTCTACTTCTGAGTTCCCAAATAACCTAATAGCAGCCTATTCAAGCAGGCGCGCGCGCGCACGCGCGCGCACACACACACACACACACACACACACACACACATGTTGACGGTCACGCCAGCACTATTTACAATAGCTACAAGATGGAAACAATCTTTGGTTCATCAACAGATGAAAAGATCAACAAAATGTTGTATATGCATAGTGAACTACTACCCCGTCAAAAAGAGAAATGAAGTCCAAACAAATTATCATATGTACAAATATACTTGATAAAATTGATGCATGGAATGTTATAAGAGCTGTAAGAGCCCCCAATAAAATGATTTGTTTTAAAAGTCCTAATACATTGTGTTCCATGAAATATAAGTCACCAAAGGGCAGATATGGTAAGATCTCACTTATAGGACGTAACAAGACCTGGCAAATGTACAGAGGCCACACTCTGTCCATCACTACCAAGGGTAGAAGGAAAGGGGGAAGAGGGGCCTTTTGTTTAATGAAGGGTGCTCACTTATGGCAATGGGAATTGTAGTACTGATTACAGCTGGCAATGCACAATATGATTAATGTAAGTACATTAGCAAGTACACTAAGCAATACATCTAAAAAAATGTTGATTTGCCAAATTTTGTGTTATATTCGTATATTCAAAATAAAATCATTTCAAGAAAATACCTCAGATAGACTTAAAAGACCTTGCTAATAAGAGCTGCCCTTCTTTTGGAGTTGGCAGTAAACCTGAAAACATATCCTCTTTCTGAAGCATCTACACATTCACAGAAAAATGCTACCAAGTCAGATCTTGTCTGAGAAGACTGTTTAGCAGTCTTGTTTACTATTTCTTCGATATCAAAAGTTCCCAAGCAGAAATACCTTAAAAACAGTGAGGTGCTTCCCAAAATTCTCAGGAAGGGCTATCAGTACTTGAAACGATTTTCATTCTTACACTTCCTCCACAAGTTGATAACAGGAGGAATTATAATGAATAGATTGTAAAAGGAGAGGCGATCCTATATCCACCCAAGCCAAAGCCACAAGGCACCAAGGGCAGGCAGGCTGCCTACCTTCCCTCTTCCTTCACCTACTCCAACACCAACCATTCCTGCCATGACCTTCTCCTTTTCTACTGGTTTTGATCATTTGTTGCAACGCCACCCAAAGCTCACAGACAATACTCAAATTATGGAGGCTTACTAGGGAGGCTAACAGGTTACCCAAAGACTGGATCGGAAATATTAAGGGCACACTTACGGATCCAAACCAACACCTCTCGTTGGCCAGTCGGCAAGTTTCTCTCTGGTACTCAGCCTATCCGCCACGCGGTCCCTTGGCTCAGCATCCTCCTTACAGTTTCAGAGTCTCCGTGCTGTTCCTTTGCTGTGTCTCATGGTCTCCTCGCCTCAGCCTCTGTGCTCAGTGTGGCAGGGCCTGGTTGCCTCTGCCACTTCAGACAGGTAATTTAAACATGCTCCACTGATGTCTCTTTTTCTTTGATGGCCTAGGGAATTCTCTCTGTTCCTGCTTCTTGGATGGCTCTCTTATACACAGGGGAATGGCAACTAAAACGGACCAATCCCTTCTATTAGTGTTTCTCACTCAATCATTTGGTGAGAATTACAGACACATGGATATCACACACTGTACTCGCTGTCCTAGCATTCCTATAGGATAGGATAATGAGGCCCCTGTGGGTTTCTGAGGTTGTAAATCTTTATGGGTGCAGATCTTTCTCCCTTAGAGTGGCAGGTGGGTTTGAACTGCTAACCTTGCAGTTAGCAGCCCATGTGTAACCCACTATACCACCATGGATCCTTGAGACATGGATAGATGAGATACATTAAAAAAAAAAAGAACTTCACCATTCAGGTAAAGCCCTAAAAAATTGAATAATCCAGATTCAAGATGATAACATTACAATCTCCCTTGTACCATAAAACAGCTAATTTGCCTGATAACAAAGTCACATTAGCACTTCTCTGAAAGTTCTTACTTTCTATTGTGAAATTATTTTCCCTACCTTTTTCATTTCTTCAACATATGCAATCATGGCTTCCTCTTTGGGCATATCACCCAAAGAACTCCAAGCATCCCTAGAAATGGAAACATACAAATAATGTTAAAAGTGACACATGATTTCCAATTGTTCATAATGCAATTGATACTTGGCCATTAAAATTTGAAAGGGGCTCCACTTAAAGCTATGCTACCTTTTCAAACATGTTGCCATCTAGCTAACTCCAATCCCCAGAAAGCCAACCGGGCAGAGCAGAACTGCTACAGAGGTTTGCGAAGGCTGGAAGCTTTGTGGAAGCACCCTGCCATACCTCTCTCGTGGAGAGAAGCTAGCCAGCCGGCTCAAAACACCAACTTAACAGTTAGCAGCTGAGCTTCTTGCCACGGCGCCACCAGGACTACCTCATATTTTCAGAGGATTTCTTTAAATGCTCAATTTCCAGAAAATTATCAGTGAGTAAACTAAATATTATAGAAAACAAATAATATATCCGATCTACATATTAACCGGCTATAGGTTATTATAGATATTTAACAGAAAGGAACACTTTAGAAGACTACACGAACTACCACAGCCCTGTTTTAAGTGAACAGACATTTTGGGTAAAAGTTCTCATTAATTTACGTAACTTAAACAGTCAAGGAGCCCAGGTGGCACAGTTGGTTATGCATCAGGCTGATAACCACAAGGTCAGCAGTTGGTACCCACTAGCTGCTCCAAGGGAGAAAGATGAGGCTTTGTGGTTCCCTAAAGATTTGCAGCCTTTGGAAATCCAAAGGAAGAGTTCGACTCTGTCCTTCCTAAAGGGTCACTATGAATAGGAATCAAATTGATGGCAGTGGTTCGGGTTTACATATTCAAATTAAAAATGAAAAAGTCTCTTACATCTAAGTAAATGAAAATGTGAGAGAGAAGAAAATTCCCAACCCCTAGATAAGGACAATTTAAGAACAGTCAATGTAATGCCAGCTGCTGGCGATCCCATGTGTGTCAGAGTAGAACTGTGCTTCGTGGGGTTTTCTGAGGCTGATTTTGCAAAAGGAGACCACCAAGGCTTTTTGCCAAGGACCATCAACTTTCAGGTTAGCAGCAAAGCACATGAACTGTTTGCACCACCCAGGGATTCCAAAAAATGTCATTAGTCCTCGGAAACTTTTGCCTGACATAAGAATCTCTTGTTTTATATAATTTTCTCAGAAGCAGCTTAACTCCAATTTCAAAGGAAAAAGGAAGTATTTTTTGTTTTCTTAACCAACTTTAAATAACATTGTTATGTCACTTAACCTATTATTCTCATTGCCATCTAGTCAATGCTGACTCACAGTGACCTTGTAGGGGTCAAGACAGAACTGCCTCTGTGAGTTCTGAGATGGTAACTTTTTTTTTTTTTTAATCATTTTATTAGGGGTTCATACAACTCTTATCACAATCCATACACACATCAATTGTGTAAAGCGCATTTGTACATTCATTGCCCTCATCATTCTCAAAACATTTTCTCTCCACTTAAACCCCCAGCATTAGGTCCTCATTTTTCCCCTCCCTCCCCGCTCCCCTCTCCCTCATAAGCCCTTGATATAGTTTATAAATTGTTATTTTGTCATATCTTGCCCTGTCCGACGTCTCCCTTCACCCACTTTTCTGCTGTCTGTCCCCCAGGGAGGAGGTCACATATAGTTCCTTGTAACCGGTTCCTTCTTTCCTGCCCACTCTCCCTTTACCCTCCCTGTTTCACCACTCACACCACTGGTCCTGTAGGGCTCATCCGCCCTGGATTCCCTGGATTTTCAGTTCCTATCTGTCTAAGATGGTAACTCTTTATGGGTCTAGAAAACCCTGTCTTTCTCCCATGTAGCATCTGGTGGTTTCAAACTGCCAACCTTGCAGATCACAGCCCAATGCATAACCACTATGCCACCAGGGCTCTTTTACTTATGACTTAACGTCTAGTCACAAAGGCCTCAGACAGTAGTACTAAGAAATCTTCAGATGTGATGGTAATTCTACTCCAACGGTTAACAACGGTGAAGAAATTTAACAGCAGAATGGACCAGTTTCATCAATTAGCATATTCTTTTCATACAGTACAATATAAATCTACACTTCTGTCAAATTTTCATAAGGGCTGTGGTGTATTAGACATCATGGAGTCAGTTCCAATTCAATGAAACACTGCCTGGTCTTGTCCCAGTCTCACAACCATTGTTATGTTTGAGCCTGTTGTCGCAGCCACTGTGTCAGTCTACCTCACTGAGGTTCTTCCTCTTTGTCACAAACCAGTGTGAGCCCCCAATCTTATTTTTCACTTCCAGGGACTGGTCCCTCCCCCAACATTTCCAAAATATGCAAGACAAAGTCTTGAAAGTCCTCACTTCTTAAGGGGCATTTTGGCTAAACTTTCTCCAAGAAACGTTTCTTCCTTTCTCTATCTGTCCCTGGTATATTCAGTATCATCATCACTATTCAAAGGCATCTAGCTTCACTGATCTTCCTTATTCGTGTCTCAACTTTCACATTTCTCGAAGGTGACTAAAAATACCATTGCTTGGGTCAGGTACACATTCGTCCTCAAAGTGGCATCTCTGCTCTTTGGCACTTTAAAGAAGTCTTTTGCAGCAGATTTGCCCATCCAATCCATTGTCGTTTGATGTCTTGACTGCTGTTTCCATGTGCACTGGTTGTAGACACACGAAAAATGACAGCCTCAGTCTTTTCTCCCTTTATCATGACATTTTTTGTTGGTTCAGTTGTGAGGATTTTCGGTTTCAGTAAAGTCTTAAGTAGTACTTAGGGCCATCATGTGTGAATCAATTGGAAAGGAAAAGAGGCCTTGAGGAACAATGGTCAAGTGCTCAACTGTTAGCCAAAAAGCTGGTAGTTTGATGCCACCCAGTAGCTCAACAGAAAGAAAAGGCTGCTGATCTGTTCCTCTCAGCAGTAGAGGCTAGAAAACCCTATGAGGATGTTCTACTCAGTCCTACAGAATCAACAAGAGATAGAACTGGTTCAATGACAGGTGTCTAGATGTTTTTATTCTTTTAGGTATATTAAAAATAAAATTTGTTTTTCTATTCAAATACTGTATGACCTGAGTAAATTTGGGGTTAAAAGTGAAAAAACAAAAAAAGGTAATATGGCAGTATCTCAGTCCAGGGATGTCATAGGACTTGTATCAACCGGCGGGCAGCAGCACATGGTCTTCACAGCCCCCGTGGACCTCCTCTCATAGGAGACCAGACAGACTCCTTACAAATGTTAATCATAAGATTTAATCATAAAATAATGTGATAAATATAGTAGCAAATTACTGAAAGATATTTCTTAGATCACATGAATTCTAAAAATAAAATTATTTTGTAAAATCTTTCTATACTGAGTTCCATTATTAGTAACTGAGCAAAGGCCCTTTTGAATTTTCCCCTTTTCCTTTATTACTTCATTCTCAAAAAATTATTAATATAGGTTAATAAATATCAAAATAATGTAACTAAAACACCAGAAAATTTGACAAAATCAGGAACACTAAAAACAATGGTGGGAACAAAAAAACCCCAAAGGGCTCTTCTAGCACATGTTGATGAAATGGCATGATTCTAAGTATCTATGTAATTAGGTAATAATGACATAAGGTTCTAAAAGTAAATTAGCATAGAATTATAACCTTGTAGGCATATTGATATAGATAGACTGGGTTTACCAAAATGTGTTTGTTACTATAACTAATTATTTCTATTAAAAAATAATACATTCCTAGTAAAACACTGTCCAGAAATTTTGTAGAGTTATGTGGGTGTCACCCTCTGACAGTGTCACCCAGTGCAGTCCCCTAGTGAGGCCACTGATTCAGACATGCTGCTGGTAACTTAATACTTAAAATGCTTAAAACAAGCAGTGCCAACTGACAAGGCAAAATCGTTATTTTCCTGGCAGATGAAGAGGTACGTGAGTTTGTTTAACTTAATTTGGAGTTGATCATGGCATAAAAAAGACAGAAAGAAAAAAGACCTCCAAGGGGAAAGGTGCAATAAACATGTCTTTTATCTTTGGTTTCATTGTTTTCTTCTCTTCTTCCAGATCTTCCTATCTGTGTAAAAGTATGTTCAGAGCACATGAAGGCTAAAAATTGTATCCAGGACATAGAAAACTTTGTACAGAATAATATACAACCATATAAATAACAGCCATGTAATAATAATGCTATTAAAATAAAAATTCATTAATAACTTGCTCTGCAAAATTACCATTTGTATCTTCCAATAGGATCCCAGAATCCAGGCCTTGACAATTTACAGGGTCCTTCAGTAGCTTGTTTATAGAAGCTATAAAACTTGAGCATCATTTCATTTGTTGGCTGGAATGAACCTATTGGAAACATACATTAAATATAGATTATCTGAAGAATATTTGATAAGTTTAAATTTATATATTGGCTTAGTGATATAATAGGGACTTTATATTCCATAGATAGTTTGGCTTATAGTTTACTTCTGCATTTTAAAAAGTTATGCTGATTTGCTCATTTGTTTAAAAAAATTCTGAGTTATTTTAAACTTTAAAAGCAATGCCTACCATTTATTAATAATAATTAATAAAAGAACAAATAAGGGTTAATAAGTTAAAGGGGAGGGAAAAAAAGGTCTGCCTTGGGCATTCTGCCCTTTTAAGAATTATCTATGTGGGATCAAAGTGATGAGTACAGGAAAGATTACAAGATGAACCTGAGCGGTCAGTGAAGCTATGTTAATTGGGGAGGAAAAACTCAGAAAGGGAGGGTGAGAATGGTTGCAAAACTCAGAGAATGTAGAAGCAAACAAATTGATCAGTTTTGCTGGGTAAATTCCTAAAACCAAAACTAAAAGCAACAAAATGAACCAACAGTTTGTAGCTGTAACGAAAATAAATGACAAACAGCTGTATTATGAAACCATAGTTAGCAATCTTATTTTAAAGCTTTCCTTCAGGCCTCTGCTCATGTCCTCCCTCAATGCAAGAACACTTTGTTCTAACAACCTGGCATTCTGTGATGCTCACCCTCCTGGCACAATCACTGAAGACACACAATGGGTGCATAAGCAAATGTGGTGAAGAAATTGAATTGTGCCTGGCTATCAAAAGATAGAGTGTTTGTGGTCTTAAACGCATGAAGTTAAACAAGCAGACATCTAGCAGAGAAGCAACAAGGCCACACAGAAGAAACACACCAGCCTGTGTGATCATGAGGTTTCGATGGGATCAGGTAACAGGCATCAGAAGACCCAAAACAAACAAACAAACAAACAAAAAACCATATTGTTGAGAAGGGGGGGGGGTTATAGCAGAGACCCCCAAACCCATCTGTAGACAATGTGACATCCTCTCACAAAAGGGTCACACGGAAGGGATGAGTCAACGAGGGTTTACTATAGCACCAATGAAACACACAATATTCCTCTGGTTCCTTGAGGCTTCCTCACTCCCCACTACCATGACCCCAGTCCTGCCTTTCACTGCGGGCTAGACCGGAGCATGTGCACAGGTACAGACAAGAGATAAGAGCTCAGGACACAGGAATCCAGGAACAGGAATGGGAGTTGCGATACCAGGAGGGTAGAGGAAGGTAGGAGAGGAGAGGAAGAAGGGGAAACCAATTACAATGATGGACACATAACCACACACACCCCCACAAGGGGACGAACAACAGAAAACATTGGGGAATGGAGACAGCGGGCCATGTAAGATATGAAAACAATAATAAATTATAATTTATCAAGGGGGTCATGAGGGGTAAGGTGAGGGAAAAAAGAGGAACTGATACAAAGGGCTGAATAGAAAGTATTTACAAAATAATGATGGGAACACATGTAAAAATATGCTAGATACAACGGTATGGATTGTCCTAAGAGGTATAAGAGCCCCCAATAAGTTCCAAGAATGGAATCACAGATTTGACAAATGTATTAAGTATAATGGAGAGTACTTTGAAGGTGAAAAGTTTGTTTTGTAAAAAAAAATTGAAATACATAGCTTTGAAAAATAATTCTCATTTATTTTGGGGGGAACCCCTCATATGCATTCATAAACATAAAAAGTAAACTAGGAGAATATACTAAATTATTATGAAAATATATCTCTATACTCCAACCAAACTCACTGCCATCGAGGCAATGTTTGTTGACTCCTAGCAACCCCTGTGAGTGTCCAAGACTGCAAGTGTGCACGGGAGCAGAAAACTTGTCTTTCTCCCAGGACGCTGCTGCTATTTGGAACTGGGACCATACAGACTGCAGACCTAACACCCACTCCCCCAGGGCTTCCTATGCAGTGATAGCAGGTGCACACATTCTTTTCTTTCTGCTTATTTGCATTTAATTTTTTAAAACACAAGCATTGTCTGAATTAGCATTTCTCTAACAGAAATCCCGTAACCGGGTGGCTTTAACAAACAGAAATTTGTTCTCTTGCAGTTGAGGAGACACGCAGTTTGAATTCCGGGTGCCAGCTCTACAGGAGAGCTTTTCTCTTTGTTGGCTCTGGCGAAAGGCCTTTATTTCTCTTTAAAATATATGGGCCTGGCGTTCCTTAGAGATCTCCATTTGCCTTTGAACAATCTTCTCCTGTGTCTAGGAACCTCTAAGGCAAGGACCCTGGGTCCAAATGATGTCGTCTGCTCCTGGTGACCTTTTCTTTCTTTTTACCTCTTGAAAGAGAAAAGGTGATGCAGGTCCCATCCCAGGGTAAATCTTAGATCAGATCAGGGCTGTGACCTGAGTAATCCTCTTGGCTGGCTGATAACATCAGGTCACACCATGGGAACGATAACATCATTACATAACTACCACACTTGATCCTTTCCTAACTGCCACACTCCTGAGAATCATGGCCTAGTCAAATTGACATCGATTTTGAAGGGACACAATTCAGTCTACGACTTTCCACCCTCTAGCCCCTCAAAATCCATGTCTTTGCCACACATAAAACATTTGATCCCATCATATAACCCTAAAAGTCTTAAATCAACTCCAAATCCAAATTCTATCCTGGAACAAAACTCTTCTTCTTCACCTGTGAAATCTAGAACACAAGCTGTCTGCTTCCATGATGTCTGTAATTCCACCAACATCTTCTCCAAGGAAATCTAGACTTTTACTATGAGAGATCCAAAGTTCTTCTGGTCTCTACTCACCATCCAATTCCAAAACTGCTTCCACAGCATGCACTTTTATAATAAAATTAGAAAAATAAAAAGTGTAAAAATGTCTGTGATAAACTTTAAAGACTGCATAATAAACTGATTAAGCTAGTAATTTGACCATAATGGAATGCTGTGATCAATAATCCAATAGTGGAATTTTGAACAGGGGGGACGACAACACGTGGAAGAGAATGTCAATTTCCAGGCTAAGCCCCTGGAACTACTGCCTTGAGACAACCTTTAAACTTTAAACCAAAAATGAGCTGATTCCGGGAACCCAAGAGGAAAGCGAATTTTGGGAATAATGAGGGCAACAAATGTATAGGTGTGCTTTACACAATTGATCTATGTATTGTGATGAATTGTATGAGCCCCGATAAACTGATTAAAAAAAACACAAAAACAAAACTTTAAACCAAAAATATCCCTTGGAGTCTTCTATAAACCAAACAAGAGTTTAACTTAAACAGGATTCTCTGCCTTGAGCATTATGCTTTTTAAAAGAACTATCTACAACGTATCAAATTGACAACAGCAACCTCAAAGGTTAGAGAGGAAACTTTGGGGGTTCATGTTAACTGTGGAGGAATAATTCAGAAAAGAAGGGTGAGAGGGCTGGATTACCTGAAGAATGTAACCACTCTCAATAAATTGTACGAACCAGACATTATTGGATTGGTATGTTTTTGTATGTACATTGTCAACAACAATCGAAGTGATTTCTAAACTTTATAACTACCTTTGAAGTATTTACAAATTAAATAAAATATTGAGTTTATAAATACAGTAAAAAAGGCTAGTAGTTTATAAAAATGCTTTAGAAATTACAACACAGAAAAGCTGAGTGGTGTTTCATATCTGGCCAAGTGTGTATGATTAATTATAAAATCACAATTATAATAGTTTACATAATAGAGATATACTTAGGAATCTCTAGACATTGTTTCACTGCTATAATCAATTACATAACAGAGTAGGTGAATGGAAAACTACAATTAATAATGGTTACTATATGATTAACATATGTGAAAGCAAAATGTTAAAAAGCCTTAACTCATCATATTTTCAGTAAATCAACCAAATAAAATATAAAGCTTATTTAAGTTCATTAGAATACAACAAAAATTGAGAACATTTATTAAATTGATGACGTGTCAGGCACTAGCTAAGGCAAAGTCTCTGTCTTCAAATGAGACATTTGGTATTTACCTATATGTGAAATACTACCTAGATATCTCATTTCTAGTACCAAGGGAAAACAAGGATTCTGTATGATTCAGGATTACTGTATATTTTAAATAAGGATTAAGGAGTAAAAAATAAAAAAGAAGATAGCACCCATATCAAAACAGCTCAAGGAAGGGAAAAATAATTTAAAAAGTGTTACTTTCAAAATATTGAACGATTCATTTTTAACAGTGTTTCTGCTTTGATTAATATCAGTTTGGGGAGGGAGAGTGAGGAGGGAGGGGTAAAAATAAAGAGCTGATATCAAGGGCTCAAGTAGAAAGCAAATCTTTTGAGAATGATGATGGCCACAAATGTACAAATGTGCTTGACACAATGGATGTATGTATGGATTGAGATAAGAGTTGTACAAGCCCCCAATAAAATGATTTAATAAAAAAAATATTTCAATTTAGGATCAGTAACAGCATAATGAATGCTCTCCAATTTTCTGCAATGAATTACTTAAAATGGCCTTTCTACCTCTAGTCTAAGAAGCCCTGCTGTTGCTGTCACATAAACATTAGACTGCTAACTACAGTGTCAGGAGTTAAAACCCAATGGCCTATAAATTCACAGGCAGAAGAGAATCATTTTCAGCATCAACAGCCCATTTCAGGAGGTCAGCCATACCTCAACCTTCCAACCTCTTTACCACTTCAGGCACAAGTCACATAAGCTGTCTCTCCCAAAACACTGTACTTTTCTAACTTTGATAATTTGTTGCAATGACCACATAGAACTCAAACCATACTCATATTTACTAAGGAAGTAACAGTTTACAACTCAAAAAAGACCTGGGGTACAGTTCTTTGGCCTGGGCAGCTTCTTGGTCATGCTCTTAGGAAGGCTTTTTCTTGGCCCTTAGCCTTTCTACCCTTGACCCTTCTACCCTTTAGGCCTCTTGGCCTGGGCAGTCTCCTGCTCTGCTTGAGACAGTGTTACAAAACATAGTACTATGTTCCACTGATAGGTGCCTGAATGCACCTCTCTCTGCCAGTAAGCCTCGGCCTGAAGATGTTCAGCTTTTAGCCCTCCAGTAGTGCCTGAACCTGTTACTTCTCTCATAAACCCCATAAATGTATTTTCTGAGTTCTTTGTAGCCATTGCAAAGAGTTATCAACCCAGCAAAGCAGTGCGCTGCAATCAGCAAACCTACAAGCAAGTCTAGCTCTGGTCTCCTGGGTTTGCTGCCACCACTGTTCTGCGGCTATGTCCCCACTGTCTCTGGTGCTGTTACAGGTCATCTCATCTGTCTCTTTCTGTCCTACATGTAGGAAGTTCTCAGCACAGGGCCATGGGTCCAATGGACACATATTACTATTTTTCTTGGTGGTAATGAGGTCCCTGTGTCTCACTCTGAGACAGCTCCTTTTAAGCCTAATAGGATAGCAAAATGGAATAAACCCCCATTAGAGTTCCATATACTTTGCATGATTCCACCCTCACAAGGGTGCCTTATTTGTTCTATTAGCAAGCTGTCTAAGCCCTTTGGTGGGGCACAAACACCTTATTTGTAGAGTCTCAACCAATCCGTTGGTGGGAGTTATAAGACCATGGCAAGACAGGCCATATAAAAGTGACCAAAAAAGACAGTGTGAAGGCTCACAGCCGTGAAAACACTTGCAACCTTACCCCTGTGATCTAAACCCTGATCTGAGTTGCTATAAAAAGAGGAAAGTAAAATTGAAATGGACTTGGATTTTTTTAGTTGATACAAATTGATCCAAGTTCATTTCAAACAAATGGGGGAGGGGTAGTGACCTTTTGCATTGCCATTTTCTTTCCCCAAACCTTCTGAACTGCACTTAATGGATATTTACAGACTGAGTTGTTCTGAATACTTGTTTATTTCATTAAATGATGATGAGCAGATGAGTTGAGTAACATGATATTAAAAAATAAGGCAATGTATCAATGTATCCTGTTGGTTTGGCAGCTCTGCCATACTAGCAGGGCTTAAAAGCCTTTTTAAAAATAGACATCAATATCATGAAAGATAATTCCAATAAAGCACAAAGAATTGAAGTGGAAAATAATAGTTTCTTCCTCTAAGACCCTCTGCTACCATAGAGCATGGGGGAAAGGTCTGAATAATGACTGAAAACTTCTCAACACTGGTCAACGATACAAAATGACAAATTCAAAGCCCAAGTGGAAGAAGCGGGAAGCAAATCACACCCAGCAGTATTCAAATTGCTCAGAAGTAGAGACACGGAGCAGCCAAAGCAATGGCACATGGAAAAAAGAAAGCAAGGAGCTTCTCTTCAAAGTTGGGGATGAGGTCCACCATGAGTACCAAAAACACACACTTGTAAGTGGGAGGATAGCAAAGAAAGAAAAGAAAAGCAGTAAATATACATGTATTTATTAAATGGAAATCATTTCACAAATGACTATAGTTCTCCTTCCCACCAAAAGTTTCCAAAATGACATTTCTCCCTCAAAAAGTTTTCAAGTCTCCAACTGTCCAGTTAAAAGGTATGCAGCATGCGGCATCCCATTCCAGAGGTGTTCTGATTTTTTTTAACCCTACTCAAATCCGCAGTCCGTTTCTCATAGTTGATTACCGTACTTTTGTTTTCAACAACATAAACTACTTAAATCTATGTCTGTGGCTTGAACTATCAGTAGATAACTCACATTTGCGATCTCCCCCTCAATCCTTTTAAACTCAGGAGGGTGGGGTGAGTGGGGTGAGGGGGAGAAGTAGGTTAAATAAACAAGATTAAAAGCAGAAAGAAGGTTAAAGGGCCTCCTTTCTTGCAGAGGGGGCGCAGGGCACTTACCATTTTGCGGCAAACTTTGGATCACCTTCACCGCAGCCTCGAACCTGGTTTCATGGACAGACCGAGTATCAGCCATCTCCAGACTCCTGCGCCAGCCCGGGTTCCAAGGACTGTCGGGTGGAATCAGGCAGCAGCAGCAGCAGCAGCACCAGCTTTCCCAGGAGCCTGCATGAAACTGGAACAAGCAGCGCAGACGGGGATCAACACGCCCCACGGGGGGTGGCCAGAGAGAGCAGCTGGTCAGTCCCCTTTGCCCTGTCCTATCCAGGGCCCACAGACCTAGGCTGTCCGACTCTTTCCTCCTCCCCAGGGCGTGCCCAAGACCGAGACAGAAAAACAACTCACCGAAAGGAAGAGCATCTCTAGCAGAAGGCAGAGGGAGTTCGGCCGCTGGTGGTCGAGGAGCCGCGCTCCCTCCAAGAGGACCCAAGCGGAGCTGTCACACCCCCCATCCCGGCGGGGTCCTGTTGTCCGCGCCCACCCTACAGCCCCGCCCCGGAGTCACGCAAGGACGCCGGAGCTTCTTCCGCTGCAGCGCGCCGGCAACCCCCGCCCCCCCTCCCCGCGGTCTTTGGGGTCCACCTAGAAGGGTCTGGGGAGGGGGAAACTGCACAAGTGGACTGCCCAAGGGGCGCTGTCCTTATCTCTCAACGCGTTAGGTCCTAGCTGCTTAGTTGTGCAACAACGTAATGGTAGCCAAAGCCGAGCCGACATTTTCCAGCCAGCGAGACTGGGCTGCAGGGTGCACCAGGGAAATGGGACTGAGTTTATGCTCGGGGCCAAATACCTGCGCCCCTTCTCTGAGGTGCTGAGGTTTCACAAGCGTAACGGCCGTAAGCAATTGGTATTTGATCCAGGCAGGCTTGGTGGGGAACCTTTAAGTTCGGGCACTTAACGTTCCATGACCCGAGCGAGTTACTTAGCCGCCGAAGTGGCATGAAAGCATTCTAAAAAGGATAGATGAAAGGACCTGGATGATGGGTGTGGGTCCTTCGCAGTGCTTGCCCCACAGAGCTTCCACCGCTTTAGCTGCCCTGAGTCAAAAAAGTCCCAGCAGCCAGCAAAGAGAAGTCTGCAACCAGAATGGGCCTGGGGAGAACAAGCGTTTCTTCCCCTAAGGAACCATTACGAGCAACCCCAGGGAGCCAGGCTCAACCCAGCTCCTGCCCGAGTAGAAAGAGGGGGAAGGGCTGGGAGGGACCAGAAACCATTACGGAGCCCTAGAAAAAGGTACTACACTTTCATCTTTGCGTTCGAAGTATCAGCGAAGCGGCCCTGGACCGATACAGTGGAGTGATACAGGGCCGGAATCCTGACGTTCTCGGGGTGAAGGAGTTTTTGTCATGTCTGGGTAGACTGGGAGGGTTACTACTATAAGCCCAAGAGAGGAAGCGGGCCAGTCCATAAATTATTCTTCCCCTCAGAGCCGCGAGGCCGGCATTTACCTTGCTGTTGCCGGGAAAGGCCTGTCCCGAGACGTCCCTGACGCCCTCCCCTTCCACTGCCCCCTCCTTGGGCTTCTGGGAAATGTAGTTTCCCCCTCCGAGTGACTTCCGGTACCGTCACTCGGTTCGTAGTTCCGCCCACCACTTCCGGTCCGGTATCTCGATCTTGACGCAGAAGCTTCCTGAGAAGCTGCGCCTCCCTAGTTGGTCCTACCTTCACGCCCCTTCTCTCCCCTCCCCTTAGTGCTCGCTCAAAATAGCACAATCTTTCCTCCCCCTCCCAAAAGAGGATCTATTTCAGTGTGGTCTTGAAAGAGGTTGTCTTGTGTGGCTGAACTTGAATCAGAGAGCTGGATTCTAATTTCTTGCTCCTGATGCTCACTAACTTTGAGGTCACGTATATGAAAGTGTAAGTAAGGCACTCATACATTTTTTAATTTTCTCAAGCTAGGAAGATTTTATGTGTTGTTATATATTGTTTCCTTTACCTCATTTTGCCCCTTGGTCAGTTATCAGTTCCAACCTACATACTTATTTTGGTATTTATTTCTAATCCAGGACTTCATTTTGACAACTCTTCAACAAGCTATGTGTAAACAGATTTTCAGTATGCATTTTTAGGTAATGAAGAGTCAGGATTTTCTGCCAGTATAGTTTTCAATTTTCATTTGCTGGTTATATGAATTTCCAGTTAAGAAGAATAGCATGTAAAGGAAGGAAATAAAAGTTATTTCAAATAAAGGTTTCTAAATGAACTTAGCTGTTTCGTATAGCTGTCTGGTTTGAGATGTGGTGATTGCTGCCGCTATGTAATGATGGACTTTCACTTCCCAAGGTGCCTTCCAAATGTGTGAACCTCTAATTCTACCCAGAGTATGTTATCTCATGGAACACGACTCAATGTCTTTCAGTTCAGTGTCTAACATGAATCATTCATTCTTGATCTCAATAGTTATGTATGTCAAGAGATATTTTTAGTTAGGAGGCTCCCTTCTTATATATGTAGAAACAGAACTCTTATGAAACGTCAAGGTTAAAGAATAAAAAACAAAAGCCATTTAATAAAATGAGTTTCTCTTGATACCAGCAGAACAGCTTTGCATGATGCCAGCAGGCATTCTGTGAGCCTTATGACCTGAACCTGAGGGATTGAGGAATTAACAACCGGTTTGTTGGCTTGTTTCCTTAAAGTTGATGAATTGGGAAACTAGAACAAGAAAATCTTTCAAGACTCTTACCAGATCACTCTGAGTCCCTTCCAATGGGAAACAAAGAGCAGGAAAGAACGGCAGGCCCGTTTACCTATGCCTTACTGACCCTCCTCTTGATGTTCTGTTGAAGATACTTGTTTTGAGTTCAACCTGCCCTATGCTAATGCCCATGTTTATGATGCCTTTCTTGATTTTAACCAACAAAATGAACTGACCTAGAGAACTGACTGTATTTGCACAACTCATGTTAAAGGCAATTTAACCATGTGTGTGTGTGTGGGGGGGTGTTCTAAAATTGATATGGTAATGATAGCACAATTCTCTTTCATATAATTGAACGATTGAACTATTGAGTTGTATGATAAGTAAATCATATGCCAATAAAACTGTTATATGTATATATGAAAAAAGAACTTACCCAGACAGATTACTGGAGATAAAAGGGTCATTGCTGGGCAAAGCCACATCTGTAACTGTTTTGAGAGACCCGAGGTCTCGCTCATTCAAATGATCTGTTTCTTCTGTCATTTTCATTCAGTAAAACTCTTTGACACTCTACTGAAGTCCCAGGTGTTCCCCCACCCCAACATATGAAAAGTCAGATGATACACTTAGAGATTAGAGAGGAGTTAAGATGAGATATTCACTTTGTGAAAATATTGAGCTATATATGATTAAGTTTTGTTTTGTTTTCTTTGTATGTGTTTTACTTCAACAATACAATGATTTTTAAATCATTTTATTGGGGGCTCATACAACACTTATCACAATCCATCCATCCATCCATTGTGTCAAGTACATTTGTACATTTGTACATTTGTTGCCACCATCATTTTCAAAACATTTGCTTTCTACTTGAGCCCTTGGCATCAGTTCCTCATTTTGTCCCCTCCCTCCCCATTCCCCTACAATTAATTTTTAAGAACAGCGATAAGGTTATTCACAGTAGCTGACAGGTGGAAGCAACCCACCTGTTCTTAAACAAGTGTTCTTAAACAAATAAATAGGTTATCAGGATGTGATATACACATACAGTGGAAGATTATTTGCCACTAGTAGAAATGAGGTTCTGAAACATGCTGTGGCATGGAAGAACCTTGGGAACATTCTGCTGAGTGAAATAAACTGGACATATAAGGGCAAATATGTGATTTCACTTATATGAAATATTTTGAGTAAACAAATGAATGGAGACCAAGTTTCATTACTGGATTACTAGAGGTTAGGGATAAAGGGAGATGAGAGTTCTTCATTAAAAATACAAAATTTTGGACTCACTCTCTCACTCACTCACTCACTCACTCTCTCACTCACTAACTCACTCTCTCACTCACTCTCACTCTCACTCACTCTCACTCACTCTCTCACTCACTCACTCACTCACTCATTCACTCACTCACTCTCTCACTGACTCATTCACTCACTCACTCTCTCACCCTCTAATTCTCTCACTCTCACTCACTCTCATTCACTGACTCACTCTCTCACTCACTCTCACTCACTGACTCATTCACTCACTCACTCACTCACTGACTCACACTCACTCACTCACTCACTCACTCTCATTCACTCACTCACTCTCTCACTCACTCACTTTCACTGACACACTCACTCACGCACTCACTCACTCACTCTCATTCGCTGACTCACTCTCTCGCTCACTCACTCTCACTCACTCACTCTCATTCACTGACTCACTCTCTCACTGACTCATTCACTCACTCTCTCACTCTAATTCTCCCACTCTCACTCACTCTAAAAAAAAAGTTTAAAAAAAAATACAAAATTTTGTTTGAGATGATAAACACCTGAAAATTGTACTGATGTACAATGTGCTAAATATAATTAATATCCCTGATTTGTACACTTACACCTGGTTAAAATGGCATTTTTTTCTGTATTTTACCAGAACAATATATATTTTTAAATATTAAATCAATAACCTAAGTATCCATATTAAGAGACTAAAACTAAAGCAAAACAAAAAATTAGGCTGCCACCGAGGCCGCGCATGCCATGGGAGCCGTGACTGACGACGCATTGATGGAGATGGTGCTGGAGATGATCAAAGAACTCATCTGCCCGTGAAAAGCTTCATTACATGGTGTAATTCTGGATCCCAGGAAGAGGGATATAGCCAGAACCAACATATGCTAAGCACACTGTTGCAATGTGAATTTTCAATGAGCAAAACGTCGCTGGTATATGATATGAATCTCAGGGAAATGGAAAATTACTTAAAATATTACAAAGACTTAGAACGTAGCATCACTGGAGCCCATGAAAAAAACTGCTGAGTGCAAAAAGCAAATTCTTCAAGCAAAACAAATACAAAAAAATCGCCAAGAGTATGATGCTTTAGCAAAAGTCATCCAGCACCATCCTAACAGGCATGAAACCTTAAAGGAACTCAAGGCTCTGGGTAAAGAATTACAGCATCTTTCACATATTAAAGAAAGTGTTGAGAATAAGCTGGAATTGAGGCAGAAACAGTTCCACGTTCTTCTGAGTACCATCCATGAACTTCAGCAAACACTGGAAAGTGAAGAAAAACTCTCAGAAGTAGAAGAAGCTCTAAAAACAAGCATGGATACAGATTCTAAGCCATCGACAAGCTAATCTCTCACCATCCCAAGAATATTGAACTACCTATATGATCTTAGTGTGTTTAGAAATATTTCTGTTCCTTGAGATAAAATTTAAATTTGTGAAATTTCTATAGTGAAATACTTTGCTTTTAAAAGTGATGCACCACTGGAGACTCAGTGTGGGAACTGGCCCAGACTGACCCTGTGACACCGAGGCAAAACACTAAAGGCATGCAGCAGAGCAACCCAGGGAGCAGAGCAGGGAGCCCCCAAGGGAGTACAAAGGATAGACTCTGGGGCCAGAGCGTGCCACCCCATCAGACCTGACTGGAGGACACCCCTAGAGTTTAAAAAGCAGACCTTGATCTATTTACAGGTTTTTCTTTCTTTTTAAAATGTTTTTCTTTTTCTTTTAATTAATTTATTCTTTTGTGGGTCATTGGTTTTCTTTTTTGTTGTCATCACTGTGTTCTCATCCGTCCCCTGTCTTGCTAGGCCTTGTTTTTTGGTGCATATTATTATCTCTACAGATCTATCTAGATAAGATAGGCCGGATGAACAGCCTGGAGGAGAAAATAACAGGACCAATGGTTCCGGGAGGACAAGGGAGAGGGGGAGGCAGGGGTAAGGAGGTGGTGCTGAACAACCCAGGGACAGGGGAGCAACAAGTGATCCAAAAACAGTGGCAAGGAGGGTGTGAGGGGCCTGGTA